CTCAAATTGGCTTCAGTGCAAGTATCAAAATACGATGTCTCACTCAAGTGAAAGCAATGCTGCGAGTGATGAACGTGTGGAATGGAAAGTTAAAACCAGTGGATTGGTTTAAATGGGATCTTGCGATTGGTAATAAGTTTCACGTTGCTTAGTCAATCATTCAGTCCGTTATGTCAAGTCAAAGGTCAATTTTTCCTGAAGATCGCATTATTTAAGGTTCATATTCCAATCTTTGCGGAACTGCGTCACAACCAACGTGATGTTTATGCAAACTTGTTCCACGTATGATTCTAAGCACATTCTAAGCACGTTTTTGTGTGTTTTCAGCATACGTTTGTAATGGAGGTCTTCGTTAATGTGACGGTGCCGGCCCGCCGCGCGCGATCGGCGAACTCGTCGGTTGCCGCCGGTCATGCATCCCTACGCAGTGTTCCTAAGAAGCCGTGCTTCTCGGAATCAAAACACGCGCACTAAATGACCCATAGGCTATTGAAAATTGTGATGCCATCACACGACGTGCAGAAGATGTATTTTCAGGAAAGCTTCCGGGATCGCATCGACTCCCTCTTCGTTATCAGGGCGAGGGTTAAGGGACGATCCAGCTTTTCTTAGTTTTCTAGTCCGCGGACAGCGCATCCGCTACCTCATCCAATCTCATTATGAAGTACAGCGTTATTGCGTTAATGCAGCACATACCTCCGCTCGGCGGAAGAGGCACCATGCGAAAACATTCTACTCGTACATGGCAAGACGCAGCACAATCGAATGCTGTAGCAATTTCACCTCTTTGGCATAAGCCTGCCTTTGCGTGGCCAGAATGCATCGATGTGTGATTCCAACCCTTTAAATCGAGAACACGCAAACGGTTTTGTGAGCTGCTGTTCTCAACTTGAGTCGTAGGGATGCTGCAATCCGCTTACGGCAGCCAGCAGCATCGGCCAAGACCACACCTTAAAACTTGGCAGGAGCGAGATGCGATCAGCAGAATGCCTCGCGCGATCCTCTTACCGTCCAACGATGCAGATCTAGACCTTGGTTCCATTTAGTTGCCGCATCCCATTGCATTATCTCCCGCCCAGGAACATAAACAGCACGAGATGATGCGCATAGCTGAATGTCATCTGAATTGCCTAGCATCACAGTGAGGACCAGATGAAAGCAAGCCCGACGGAAGCCGTTCTTTTCCGAGCGTCGCACGCGTTCACGCCGGCGTACGTTAAGATTGATAAATATATCCGTTGTGCATCATGACCCGCCAACGTCCCGAGTGCAGCTTAGAGCGACGAAACAACTCATGCATACCTCCAGCCTGAAAACCGACTCCAGGATGATTTCGATACGGTGCACGCGTCGTGTGTGCGTGCGTGCGTGCGTGCGTGCGTGTACGCGCATTCGACTGCATTCAACTGCATTCAGCGTCGTCACGCCTGTGACCGACGCCACCGCTGCCGAGCCGACAGCGGCGCGCGCGCGGCGGCGCGGCACCGCGGAGGCCGACACGTGCGGCACGTGTGCAGCGCTGGACCAGCCCCGCGCGACGGAGCGGCCGGGCCCGCTCTCCGGTGTCCCGGACGGGCTGTCAGCGCGAGTCTGATCAATAGCCATGGATTACGGCACGGCGTGCCGGGCGATGGTCATGTACCCGAGAGCTTGGGGCTTATTCAATGGACGCGGATTAGCAGGAGGTCAACACAACAGCCGACGTGACGGCCTCCTGGCTGCAGGGAGCCCCTGCGGTACGAAACAAACAGAAGCATGCCAGCCAACACCAAATACGTCGTGCTTCCAGACGAAACTGATTTGCATGCGGTCATGGTTCATGCTCACAGCATGCTCACCAAACGGCTCAAACCTACTCATATTGAATTACCCTAAAATGTCCCGTCACTGGATGTTACCCTTTAAGAGTTTCAAGCAACAAATACACCTAGGCACGTCTACCGCTTGAAACCGGGCGTGTTGAGATGAACGTTTTGAGATGACGGTTGCAGAATCCTCATTGTAACCATATTATACGATGCACCTCGAATGATGAACTGGGTAGAGCAAGCCAACGGAGGCCTTACACGTCCACGGTTGATCCTTGACCGCGATTATTTGCCTCACGACCAGCTGAGTGGCATCTCGCAGGATATCAGGCTCCCTCGCTGGGTTCCAGTCCCCACCGTCCCGCTCCACCATCCAGTCTCAAGTCCCATTCCATCAACTGTGGGTCTGCCACACCTCTGTGTGCTCCAGCAAACAGCCCTGCCTCTGTGGTTCCATCCCCGCACTCCCAGCTGCTTGTTCTTGTCTTCGTCTTTTGTCTCGTGAATCCAGCACGCATCATGTTCTCCGTGTTCTAATCTCTGCCCTGTCTCTGTATATTCAGATCATCCACCCCGTCCAGCTGCATTCACCCGCGTCCAAAGGTCACACACACACCGTCTCGGTATATTCGGACCCACCACCCTATCCCCACGCATCAAAGTCCACCCTGTCTCCGCACGTCCCGGTCCACCACCCTGCCTCCGCACGTCCCGTTCCACCCCTCCCCCAGCACATCCCCGTCCACCACCCTGCTTCCGCATATCCCGGTCCACCCCTGCCTCAGTACATCCCCGTCCACCACCCTGCCTCCGCACATTCCGGGCCACCTCTGCCCCAGCACATCCCCGCCCACCACCCAGCATCCGTACGTCCCGGTCCACCCCTGCCTCCGCACGTCCCGGTCCACCCCTGCCTCCGCACGTCCCGGTCCACCACCCTGCCTCCGCACGTCCCGGTCCACCACCCTGCCTCCGCACGTCCCGGTCCACCACCCTGCCTCCGCACGTCCCGGTCCACCACCCCTGCCTCTGCAAACCCCGGTCCACCACCTTATGACGGTGCGTTCCCTCGCACCCCACACCCGTGAGTCCCCTCCCTCCTCCGGTCCCTGCCTCCGCCCTGTCCCGCCGATCGCTGTCCTCGTCGGGACGCCGCCCGCCTCCTCCGGCCACGTTTCGCCGACCGGCCATCCGGGTCCAGGCGGCCCTAAAAAAATGGCCCGCCGGCGCCGTGCCGGGCGTCTGGTATTCGGCGGCGCGGCGCGCCCGGTGACGTCCACACATTCCAGTACATCATGCGCCCGCTCAAAGGATGGAAACATGTGTTCGATGGAGAACGGTGATTAGACCGATTTCGGGAGCATTAGTGCTACCGGGGTGGTCGACAATGGGCTAATTACGGTCGGAATGCGCGCCGATGGATGGGCCGCGGCGCCGCGCGCCGGCCGCCGGCCGCGTCATCTGCCACCAGGAAGTGGCCACCGTCACCACACCCGGTCCGGGCGCGGCCGGCTGCCGCTCGCGCCAGACGAGCCTCGCCTCGCAGGGTCACACGAGGCTGATTGGGTTCTGGATTGGCCTTCCGTGACGCGCTCAGCGCAGTCTTCCAGGACTCGCTGGGCGCGGCAGCGTGGCTGACTCTTGATCCCGCATGCCGCGGTGGGAGAGTGTTGCGCAGTCGCACGGATTCAAAGGCACGGGACAACTAGGCAGGTAATGGGCTGACTCAGGGGCACATGGGTAACTAGGGAGGTAAAGAGCTGATCCAGAGACACTGGCTAACTAATGAGGTAATGGGCAATTCAGAGGCACGGGGTAGCTACAGGGGTAATGGGCTGATTCCAAAGCATGGCATAGATGGAAAAGCTATCGGCCGATTCGGAGATACGGGATAACTGAGGTAATGGACTGATTCAAAGACACGGAATAACTGAGGTAATGGGCTGATTCAGAGACACAGGGTAACTACGTAGGTAACGGGCCGATTCAGAGGCGCAGGGTAACTAGGGAAGTAATGGGCTGATTCCGAGACACATGGTAACTAGGGAGGTAACGGGCTGATTCAGAGACGCAGGGTAACTAAGGAGGTGATGGGCTGATTTAGAGACGCATGGTAACTAGGGAGGCAATGGGCTGATTCAGAGACACATGGCAACTAGGGAGGTAATGGGCTGATTCAGAGACACGAGATAACTGAGGAGGCAGTGAACTGACCTCCCACTAGGAAAGTAACGTGAGCTGTACGTCAGTGGCTGAGGAACGCAGGCACGATCGACTATTAGGCTGGGTGGGCTGCCGGGCACGGAGCTGTGCGCTGCTGAGGTGGCTGCGATTTTTACGAGCAGACCAGCTTCTACGGCCATTTGGCGCTGGAAGTGGTCGCGAAACATGCGAACCAAGAATACGATTAATATCTTGTGCGGGTGGGACATGCTGCAATGCTAAGTCCAAAATTGTTTCCCGGATATGCACACTGTTTGTGAGTAATAATAAAAAGGGATCAGCGGCATCCTCCGGCAAATTAGCGGCATCCTCCTTCGAGGATGCCGCTAAATTGTTTTGAATGGAGACTGCACCTAGTGATTGCTTTGTTCCGACATTGGCGGTTAGTGAGGGCCCCACCGCACGCCAAAATACGCGTTTCAAAGAAGCAGGCAACGCGAGCAAAGCTGTTCGCAGCCTGAAGACGAAACCCCACTTGGCACTAGGACATTTGCTAGAGATTGGCGACATACACCGCTCCCATTATCACCAATAGCAGCATCACCCAAACAAAGCAAGCAGGTGAGCATCTTGGGTGAGAGTCGAAGAGCTTAACACTCGCTGTGAGTACGCAGCTACCATGCACTTCTTCATTGCATCACACAGGCATCTGATACGTCAAAGGACACCGAGGGCGTCCTTGCGGGGTCATTCCCACCCTTGCCAGCAAGGTAACAGCAGTCGACGACGGCAGGGGCATAGCCGTCGCCCTGGTCAACATCAAAGACTGCAGATAGACTGGATCGGTCGTTCGAGCTGATGACCGGAACGAATCTGGTAACAAGGGCATCTCGGCAAACTGGGAAAACTACATTGAATGGACTTGAATAGAAAGCTGAATACAATTGAATAGAACATGGAGGGTGGCGGGCTGGCTGGCATGAAGCCGCGTCTGTTTTCTTAGCAATATACACACAACAGTATGGCTGGAATTTATATATTGGGGAATAACCTTAGTGTGAAAGGAAGGCATCCACTAGAAACGCAGTTGTTTTTCACACTCTTTTCGCACTTTTTCACACACAACTAACTCACTCACCCTGGAATGGTTGAGAATAATGTGCGTTTAACGTTACGACGAAGGCATCACCATCAACCATCAGCCAGCAGAGGTAGTTACTGCCCGATTTGCGCGCGGCATTCCCGCCAGCCCGATTTCGTGCAAAAATATATTAAAACCACACACGTACCAAAAACACAAACATGAGTTGAAGCGGCCGAGTCCGCCGGGCAGGCGGCGTGGTGCGAGAGAGGCGAGTATCACAGCGTGCTGGCCGGCCTGGGCGATGACGGGAGCACCTCGGGGCGTTAGTATCACAGGCTGCGCCGGCATCATCTTCAGCAGCGGCGGCGGCCGCTAGGCGTCCGGTCGCTCCGGCTCCGTGATGCGGCCGGTGGTGAGCGCGCCGCCGCGGCCCGTCCACTCTTCCTTCAGCGTCACCTGGCAGTCGAGGTCGCGCAGAGCCGCCCGCGCCTCCGCGTCCACCTGGTGGACCGAGGGCGAAGCTGAGCAGCCGGCCAGCGCCGCAAGGGGCACCACGGCCAGCGCTGAGGCTGCCTGGCGCGGTGTCCTGACCTCCGGATAGCCAGCAGCAGGCTCCGCGCTGGCCGCTAAGCAACACGTGGCCGGGCGACTGCTGATGCGCACAAGATCTTCATGACCTGCTTGCACTAAGTCGCGTTTGCACCCCATCCTTTTAAAACCCTATCACTTCGTCCCAACGTGGGCTCCGTCCTCTGTGCTGTGATTCTCCCCCCTAACATGTCTAAAGCCATCTGCCGGCGTCTGCTCACCTTCGGTCCGTGCGCCTGCAGCCCTCTGTTGGCGGCTGCTCACTTTCGGTCCGCGCGCCTGGAGTACTCCGTCGGCTCTGCTCACCTGCGGTCCGTGCGCCTGGAGCACTCCGTCGGCTCTGCTCACCTTCGGTCCGTGCGCCTGAAGCCCTCTGTCGACGGCTGCTCACCTTCGGTCCGTGCGCCTGAAGCCCTCTGTTGGCGGCTGCTCACCTTCGGTCCGTGCGCCTGGAGTACTCTGCCGGCGTCTGCTCACCTTCGGTCCGTGCGCCTGAAGCCCTCTGTCGGCGGCTGCTCACCTTCGGTCCGTGCGCCTGAAGCCCTCTGTTGGCGGCTGCTCACCTTCGGTCCGTGCGCCTGGGGTACTCCGTCAGCGTCTGCTCACCTTCGGTCCGTGCGCCTGGAGCACCTGGTTGATCAGCTGCTCAATGTTCAGCTCCCTGAAGACGGGCCGCAGCTCAGGGCTGCGCGATACCATGTTCCTGACGGCCATGCAGGCCAGCTTCTGCGGGAGACGGCGTTCAGTCAGACGCCGGCCGGTCGGTCGGTCAGTCAGTCAGTCACTTAGTCAGTCAGTCAGGCGGGCTGAACAGCGGGCCAAGTCTCGATGGTCAGCCTGACTGGCCCACCAGTCTGAACGGTTCGACGCGTCCGGTCCGTCAGTCTAACAGCGGGCATGGAGGCCAGTCTGGACCACGGCATCAGCTTGGACCAAACGCCGGCTGGACCAGTCGTCTCTGGCCCTATGATACACCGACGGGGCCCAACACGCCACTCTGTCGGTCACGAAACAGAGGAACAGTCCTAAAGGCGACGATGCGTCACTCGTCCCTGTAACTGACCGTGTGTGGTAACAGAACACGCTGGACGGTGCCAATAGTTCAGTCGGGAAGGGCGGAGAGGAGGACGATTTCGGGCACTTCTACTGCACGGTCATACAGCAACAGTTCAGTCGGAAAGAAAATCAAGTATATAAGTCGGCATGACACTCTGCACACGTGCCTGAATGCTGATGTGAGCGCGTGCAGGAATGGGGGCACAATCAGCGACGGATTTTGGAAGGGGTGGAAGCAGTGATGTAACGGGTACAGGCCAAGACATCAAGATCCAACCATCGAAGTGGATAAAATAAAGTGACTGATGCGTCTCTGAACTTATAAGCGCACCATGAACTTATGCAATAATGGCTCCAGAAATTGCCTTAAGGTAAGTGGCAATGCCAGTCATGGCACCTGTGTGATAAGGCAAAGGTCACGACATTAAGCCACTTACAAGTAGGGGTCAAAGTGAGGACACCACGTGTGGCAAGTGGGGACACCACTTGTGTGACAAGACAAAGGTCATGACTACGTTAATCCAGTTACAAGTAGAGATCAAAGTGGGACACCATATCCAACGCAATGGAAAAATAAGCTGCCAACAATCCACTATATGTCTAACCATATATAATTATCAGTAAAAAAATACACTCGGGTATTTTGAATCAGCTTCCGTTACGAACCAGATCCATACATATCTAAACCGAAATCAACGCCATATGAACGTTGCCCTGCACTGTCTGCATGCTGCAGATGACTCCCATGCTGGCCGGCCCCGGGAAACAAACTAGTTTCGATGAGCCAATCATGTGCCACTAGTGCCGTGGTTAAGCTGCGTGTCTGTACCAGAGGTACCGGTTCTATTCCCCGCGGCACCCACCCTTCCTGCCAGGACGAGGCGCAGACGACACCATACAGCTTCGGCAGCTGACAGAGTCTTATAGCCACAATGACAATACACACTTCAGCTCTATCTAGGTATCCCCGACAAACGCTGTGGTTCCCTGCCCGGCCGATAGAGGCCTCCGGTGGTCTCACCTGGGTCTTGGGCTCGCCCAGGTGCAGCTCCATGGCGGCCACGATGACCGGTATGGCGTCGGCCGCGGCCAGGGCGGCGGCGTTCTCCTGGCTGCGCAGCGTCAGCGCACCGATCGCCGCGAACGCCGACTCGCAGACCAGCACCTTCGCCTGGCGGCAGCAGGGAAAGGCTGGAGCACCAAAACACCAGCACCCTCGTCTGACGACGGCAAAGAGAGGCTACAGCACCAAAACACCAGCACCTTCACCTGGCGACAGCGGAGAGAGGCTGGAGTACCAACACACCAGCACCATTGCCTGACGGCAGCAGAGAGCCTAGTGACAGCACAGAGAGGCTACAGCACCAGTACACCAGCACCACTGCCTGACGAGAGCAGGGAGAAGGCTACAGCACCAATACACCAGCACCATTGCGTGACGAGAGCTGGGAGAAGGCTACAGCACCAATATACCAGCACCATTGCCTGACAAGAAGGCTACAGCACCAATACACCAGTACCATTGCCAACGACAGCAAGGAGAGGCCACAACACCAATACACTAGCACCATTGCCTGACGAGAGCAGGGAGAAGGCTACAGCACCAATACACCAGCACCATTGCCAACGACCACCAGTACCATTGCCAACGACAGCAAGGAGAGGCCACAACACCAATACACTAGCACCATTGCCTGACGAGAGCAGGGAGAAGGCTACAGCACCAATACACCAGCACCATTGCCAACGACAGCAAGGAGAGGCCACAACACCAATACACTAGCACCATTGCCTGACGAGAGCAGGGAAAAGGCTACAGTACCAATACACCAGCACCATTGCCAACGACAGCCAGGCGCACGCGCGCCTTCGTCTGAGGACAGATAGGCAATTCTACATCATCCTTTCTCAGTCGGCCACCAATTACGGAGCTCACGCACCCGTTCTTACCGGCCGAGTGCTAACACTGAAAATGCCAATAGGTTGTCAGATACAGCAGCTTTCCGCCACGCCTCAACACATTGGGCTGGAGCGGTGCTGGAGGCCGATGACAACGGCTATGGCGGTCAAATCCAACGGCATCGGAGCCAGACCGACAGCCTCGCCGCACCGACCTTGAGCGTGTCGAGTGCGGCGGTGATGACCTCCGCCGCGCCCTCGTCCATGATGGCCCGCTTCACCTTGTCACAGCCGGCAAGCGTCCGGATGAGGAAAAAGGCCCGGCCGACCAGCGCCTGAAGCAGAGTGACGCCGTGCCGTACTCCGAAACCGCCGCACGACCGCGGAGCGCCGACCAACACAAGCAAGCTGGCCGGCAGACAAGACAAAAACTAGCCGTCAGACAACACTCGAACGAGCTAGCCGTCACACGCACTAGCGCGCCGTTGCGAGGCGTCGCCAATGGCCGATCTGAACAGAAGCGCGGAAGCAACGATGGACCAGCACCTCGCTCGTGCGTCACCCCGGCGCCGCCGCGAGACAGCTGAGCGGCAGCCCCGGCGGCCAATCCGGAGCAAGGCGAAACTTCTCCGAGCCGGGCGGCGGCAACACGACTCTGCCTGCACGCGCTGTCCGCTCCCATGCCGGGCGTCGCGAACGGCTGGCCGCCTCGCTAACGGCACGCGGGAAACATGACGAACGCCTGCCACCCTCGAAACCCGAGGTCCAGAGCCACCCCGCGGCCGTGGTGCGGCTGTGGGAGCCAGCGGACGCCGGCCCCGCCACTCACCGTGTGGCTCGGTGAGCGACGCATGGTCTCCAGCAAAGTGTGCAGGCCGCCGCCGCCGGCGAACTGCTCGCAGAACTCCTGGCGCACGCACAGCTTTGTGCACGTGTGGATGAGCTCGGCTGACAGCGCCGGCTCGTCCACCGCTCCTGTGAACCGGGCCACGGGTCACAGGCACAGGCACAGGCACGGGCACGGGTCACGGGTCACGGGTCACGCGTCCCGCCGCCGGCGGACACACAACTGACGGCCGTTGGCGGGGTGTTCAGCTGGAGAAATCACAGACTTAAGCTGCTTGAACATCACAGCAACGAGCCCAGCCAGAACACAGGAAATGCTGTAAGCTGAAATGGTTGATACGATGTTGAAGTAAAACTTATGGAAGCCTTCAAGCGAGTGGTACAGTCCGCGCAGTGGAAGGTCAAGCCAGTGATATGTTGCGAGCCTTCACACGACCTTGAATGTAAGCAATGTAAGCATTACTTTCCCATAACTGTGATCAAACTCAATGTTTCGAAGCATCCGACCATGACGTCAAATTGCACTGGCTCGTCGACTGCAAAGTCAGATCGCTGCAGGTTAAATCTCGCCGCTAAAATCAGGTCGTAATTTGCGCAAAGCCTCGAGACCAGCCACGATTCCGTCCCCAGAGGGGTCCGCAGAGGCACAGCCAGAATTTGCGGCCGAGCTACCATGAATTGCGATGGAGTCCATTTTTCACGAGCGAGTCCCAGTCCCATTGACAGTACCCGCGAACTGCGAACAGACCCACAAATCCAACAAGCGCTAACTGGCACGGCATCTAGCGTATCAATGAGCTATCGATGTTAGTTCCCTCTGGTGTCTACAACGGTTGTTTCAGATTGGTACGACATCTATTCACTGAGCTATATCCGCTAGTCTTGCTACTAAATTACGGCTGTTTGGCTCCACAAGTCACTGACCATGGTATTTTCTATCAAATTCAAAACCAAAATAGTTTTCCTGATCATCAGATTCTGGAAGTGTGTTGAGTTATGTCGTGGTGAAAAACTGCACTCGAACCTGACGGGGGAGGGCTATGGTTCTACGAGCCCCCGCCCTTGGCTGCGCCACCGGCCTCGCGGCCGGCCGGCACCTTTTAGCAGCTCCAGCAGCGCGTCCAGGAGGCCATGCTCGGCCACCAGCTGGCGCGCGTGCTCGTGCGCGCGGCCGTACGGCACGCGCACGTCGTCGTCCAGCGTCATGTGGCGCAGCAGGGCGCAGACGGCGGGCAGCTGGCTGCGCTCGGTGTCGGCGTCGCACAGTCGCTCGGCCAGCTCGGCCAGCAGGCCGGCGTCGGCCAGCGCCTGCCGGTTGGCCTCGTGGCGCAGCGTGACGGCCGCCGCCCAGGCCAGCGTCTCGGCCGGCAGCTGGCGCAGCTGGCGCAGCAGGAGCGCGCAGTCAGCCGGCTGGAACAGGTCCGGCTGGCCGTCCTGCAGGGCGGCGAGCGTGCGCAGCGCGGCGGCGGCCGCCGGTCGGCCCGGCTCCAGACAGGCGAGCAGGGCCGGGTACGCGCCGCGCCGGCCGGCCAGACAACGCTCCGGCAGGCCGGCCGCGCAGAACTGGCGCAGTCGCTCGAGCTGCGCCGCCAGCTGCAGCCGCTGCGCCTCGGACGGCTCCGGCTCGGCCGCCAGCGCCGCCAGCTCGGCGATCAGTGTCGGAACGTCGCCCGCCCGCTCGTCCGCCACGATGAAGCGGGTGTCTACGCCCTGCGACGGGGCGGCGAGAGTGTCAGGATGGTGGCGCGGGACGGCCACCGCCAGTCACAAGCCGCACAGATTCAGCGAGCTCGGTAGCAAGGATGTACGACACAATGCATCCCGTCAAACTTCGTCCAACCACAGCTGCGAGAGTCAGCCTGAGGGTATTAGTCATCCATCAGTTGCACCTTGGCATTTAACACCTCGGTTGATTAATCATTCAAGAATACCAGCCTTCAAAGCGCACGGCTTAGTGCGACTTCCGGCCGCGTCTGAGGGCAAGGCGCTGGCCAAAACTTTCTCGAAAGCTCCCGGGCCGATTGCGATAACATTCGAAACACACCAGACTGATCCAGCTTACGCACGCCCAGGCCGAGCCGTGCGTCACGTCACCGTGTAGTGGCCACAGCAGGAGTGCGGCGTTCCCAGCCAACTACAGCTGTGTAACCGATGATTGATGTTTAATCCGCAAGTCCATGGGCTTTTGGACTGTGCTCTACTGACATAGTGTTCGCCCATGTCTGTCTGCCTCATGTGTCAAACTCATGTCTGAGTGGAGAGAAATTTGAAAATTCAGTCAGGAACGGCGTCCGAGTGTTCGTTTCATTCCCTGGATTGAACATTAAAGGCACCCCCGTCCACGTAAAAATGGAAACAAATATCATCTACCAACTGCTAAAACCTGTCCCATCTCATTTAAGACACTTCTAAGGCTTAGCACAGACCACACTTGTCCTCTTGCAGAACACAGCAATTCTCAAACTTGCATCGTGAGGAAGGCCACGCCAAGATGAGGGTGGAATATCTTCGACTGAAGGAGTGGCAAGTGAATACGCATCCGGTGGACGACTGTCTCTCCAACACTGACCAGGCAAAAGAGCCACAAACAAAGACGGGAATAACAGTATCCCACATCAATGGCGTTTCTAAGATTCAGAATTGAATGGCTCTCCACCCCAGCTAAGCATCAGCACAGCGTGTACATTTGTTCACAATTATTTCCCATCCACCTCAGCTATACATTACCACAGCGTGTACATTCGTTCATCATTATTTCCCATCCACTTCAGCCAAGCATCAGCACAACGTGTACATTTTTCACGCATTATTTCACAGGTATATTTCAGTTTTGGTGTAAATGTCCACGCTTCAAAAGAAGCGCACGACCGGACCCGCCCCACACAAACGCCTTCACGGACCTGTGTCGGTCGGCGACCGCCCCGGCGCACCAGAACCCCGAGCCACCGCCCGGACAGCGCTGCCGCATGGGCTCACGGAGGCGACATCAGCGCCGCACGCCGATCCATACAGAGCACACGCCGCCATCGACCTGATCCCGACCTCAGCTGGTTCAGCGCCGCAGTGACTTCCAGCTTGGCGAGGCCGCCCACCGGACGGGAGTGGCCCCCTGCTGCTGCAGCGATGCACACAGCCAAGTTGGGGAGTAATAAAGGAGCCGATGTACCCTCTTACACGCAAGGAACAACAAGGTGACGAGCAGGCAAGACAGATAACGGGGGCAATTCCGAGGCCTCGAGAAAGCACACCTTTGCTCTCAGCAAATATTTTCACGGGCGGCGGAGGGGGGTTCGGACCAGTTGGCGCAGCGGGGAGGAAGCGACGGCGCCACATCGGGAAAGTAGCTCCGTCAAAGGTCGAAACTACCGTGCAGACCGCCCCTATCAAAGAGACAACAGCTGATCACTTCCATCACCTGGGCGACCAGCTGCTGCAGGGCATCGGTGACCGCCTCCTCCCTCTCCATCTCGAAGTCGTCTATGTTTTGCTGGACTATGGATTGGAAGGTCTCCTGGAACACGGATGGGTCGCCCGCCATCTTCTCACTCATTTTCACTGCTCGCGTCTGGAAGAGAGTGGCAGCTGTCAGAGTGGCGCTTACAAGTTGGGGACCGAGCGCAGCGTGTGAGAGAGACAAGCTGTGACAGCAAGCTCGACGAAAATCTCCTCAACAAAATTATAGCGAGAAAAGCAACACCTGGCTTCGTATTAGATTGGCCCGTTCGGTTGATCATTAACTAGATGCATTATTCCGGAGCCAAGCGATGTTTCAAGCGGCAGCTGCTGAAGTTGCTTCCAAGAAGTTATCTCCAATTTCCGAACTAATCCGAAGGGCCAACCAGCGTTGACAGATTGCAAATGACTATTCGCTGAACACAATGGATGCGCCAGTGGCACATCTGGCAGGAGAAAGACCGGTCTCACACCCGCGGACGCCCGTCTTGCACTGCTCAACACGCATGTACCCAGACAGACGCCCGAGCGAAAGCTGTATGTGGTACGTGTATCACCGCGTGACAAGAATAATCAATATTCGACACGACTGAGCCATGGAATTTCAAAACAGATAGCTGCAACTGCTGAGCCTTGCACGCCCGAGTCCAGCGTAACCACCACTTCGAGCAAGCACGCGAGGCGGCGCAAGCCCTCTCAGCGCTCCAGCCGCTGATTTAGGCGCTGCCTTCGACGCCACCCGACTTTGCTCAGCGCCCTGGTACGTCAGTCAGTGTCCAGGTTCAGTTCGATTCCGTGTTTGCGTCCCATGACCCCCCCCCCCCCCCCCCTCCCCTGGAGCTTCGCTACGGCGACGCCACTCTGTTTGTGATCAGTGCTGGTGAGCGTCGCCGTGTGGTACGACTAACTGGGAAACGTCAGCTAACCGCCCGAGCGTACAGTGTTTATGGGCTTGCGCCACCTTGATCGGCCGTAGATATTGGCCAAAAGCTGCGCCGCCAGGAGCATTCGAAACTAAGTTTCAAGCAGGACGCATGCCCCTCGTGAAAACCCCTCGTGAAAATGGTTTAGTTCAGGTCTGACGCCATAAATTTGATGCTTATAGTGAGTACTCTGCGGGCATTTCGATCCGCATCATAAGGTCTTCGAGTAATCACAGAAGAAGGTGCGCAATACTGAAAATAATGAAGTTCTTAAGACCGCATCTCGACTCTTAGATCCTATAGTCCGCTATCGATTTCAATGCTTCCGAAATTGTCCCATTTATACCAACTTCCCGAGCAGAGAGACAAATGAGACACGCCGCATGGACCGGCGGCGGCGTCGTGTTTTGGCCAGCTTCGTCCGCGGCGGGCGCACTGTGCGGCGCGGCGGCCGCGGTGCTCCCAGCGGCCGCCACTGGCTGCGCCAGTCTCCAACAGCGATGCTGCTGCTGACCGTGCTGCTGGCGCTGCGGCTGTGGATACCGCATCCTCGCGGGTGCGAACCGTCGGCGGCGGCCATCAGCACCGGCAACGGCACCGGCAACGGCACCGGCACCGGTACCGGCACCGACGAGTCGGACCGCCCCTGCCCCGCCTCCTGGTGGCCCGACGCCGGCCGATGCTACCGCGTGGTGAGCAGCGCCGAACTGCCAGCCAGCTGGCACCTGGCGCGGGTCTGGTGCGCGCGGCACGCGCCCGGCGCCGACCTCGCCACCATCACCACGGCCCGACTCAACCAGCTCGTCCTGCGGCACGGGCTGATGCAGGCGTCCGGCGAGCTATGGGTCGGCATGACCGACCTGTTCGGCGAGGGCGCCTTCCGCTGGCTGGACGGCACACCGGCCGCGTTCGTGCCGTGGGGACCGAACCAGCCGGACAACACCGCCAGCAACCAGCACTGCGTGGCCCTGTCGCTCGCTAATCACTCGTGGGCCGCGCCCGGCCAGTGGGACGACGACTTCTGTCACACCATCAAGGGCGGCTTCGTCTGCCAAATGCGGCCGTAGCGGCGGCTGCGCGACGGGCGACAGCTGCCGCGCCGCCGGCTGCGCGGCGAGCGCCAGCTCCAGCCGAGGCGGCTGCGCGTGTGCCGTCGGCTGCAGCTGCCGGGCGCTGAAGACATCGAGCACCAGATGCCGGCGGCCGGACTTGGCGCACGCGCAGGCGGTCACATGCCACGGCGCTGCCCCTCTCGGCGCTCGACACACGTGACGCGGGGAGCAGGTCACGGACGCTGACCGATCCTTCGGTGCGCTCGGGGAGCGTCTCCTGCACCGTTTGCGTCAGCAGGGCGTCCAGTTCGTAGCAGTGATGAGCTTTCCGAGTGGATCCGGACCATCCAGGGGCGAACAATGAGGCCTCACCGACAGGCGGACACTTGCGCTGCGGGCTGACGCGTTATCACGCTTCATGACGCAATACACTCCTTGGTCCTATCTGGTTTATAAACAGGGACAAATATGCAGCATAGTCTGTACCAACTCGAAGACAGATGATTATTCATGCCGCAATATATTTTACTTTCCGCAACCCATTAACATGTGAGGTAAGGGTATTTCTCGGCGTTTTTGCCCTGCAAGATATTGATTTGATCAGCCCCATTTAAAGGAAATGTTCCGTGTTTGAAGATACTGAAGCAGATATCAGATATGATCAAATCAACTCACTTATAAAACTTGGTAAATTTTAATTGGAGAAGGCTGGTCCAAACAGCACAATTTCTCTGTTTAGTGACTATGCTCCTCAATGCATCATCGTGCCTTGCACAACATTGATTCAGAGCCAATTGACGGCCGTCATATCTGGAAATCGAGCTCCCAAACGCCAGATATGAACGACTCGACAATCGTATTTTTCTTGGCCTTGATCGCCGCGCGGCCAATGGAATAGCAGGATTTGAATGACGTGTTATTATGGCGTCATGGGTGCCTGGGTGATCTGGAAAAAGTCTCTTGAAGTGGTCGAAATAGTCTGCACAACTTTGTGGGGGGGGGGGGGGGGGGGGGGGGAGGCGTGTAGCGCAGAGCCTAAAGGCGTTTAGGTCTTCAAAAGGGCAGGGGCTGTCAACTGCAACCAAATGGCCTTCAAGATGGCCATTTCCATTCAAAACTCCATACAAATGTCAGACACCCTCTTTAATTCGCGTGCGTTAAAATGGTCAGAACGACGCGGAAACCAGGTGACATCACATAGATTCCGAACAAGAAGTAGATAACAAAAAGGTGATGAAGGACCACAGAGTACCTGTCACCATACCTGGCAGGCAGAAGGACCCCTTCCCCCCCCCCCCCCCACCCCACCCAGAGGCTAAATCCCCCAGTACTGAACATGGCCAACTCACTACCAAAGCACTGAGCCTGAAGACCCCAGTGTGTGCCCTACACTATTGAAAGCAAATAAATATAGGTAAGTGCAACAATAGGGACAGCAAACAAGGGTTCAAAAGAGCAATCTACTGATTGCAGCCCCCCCCCCCCCCCCATGTAAAAATACCGGCTATGCCACTGGTAATGATCAAATGCTATGATGTTCCATTGGTGTGACCCAAATGGCATGCTCTAACTCTGACATATTTTCTATAATTGGATCAATATCAAAAACATAATAGCATATTCAGGAGTGCACTGGGTCACAGTTGACACCCGGAACTACACAAGACATACACATATTTATATTTCAGCTTTTTATGTTAACAATAAGATTGGCATGTAGTTGATCATGCATGCTCTTATTACAATGTCTATGAACATACCACAGGCCCTCTGAAAACTAAAAGTATTATGGTTGATGACTTTTTTAACAACACAAAGGTTATGTCACCCTGGAAGAGGTGAAGAGGTCACATTTTTAGGCTACCAACAATGCTAATCTACAGTTTCTTATTATTTAGTATGATATTTAGCCACTCATGGTGAGTTAACAAAATGTCATTTAACTTGTGGTTTTGCTAGAATCAGTCACTGAAAATAATGCCTAAAACTTAAAGATATAAAGATATCTGGCCAACAAAGAGCACCATGGGCCTGTTGAGATTGGCCTACCTCAGGTTCCATACACATCCTTGAAACTAACCTAGCACCTAACCTGCATAAATTTAGTTATAAATGAGATCTTTAGAACAGTAGAACTTTTTTTTGAAAAATTAGTTCAAGTTTGCAATTATAGAACCAATTTAAAATCTAGTGTTTTGGCATAGTTCTGCCACCCAATGCACTGGGGAATTCAGACAAGTAACAAACTGGAGCTGAGATTGAGCACAACAGCAATATGCAATGAAGCATGCAAAAACATAAAGGGCCGATAGTTCACGGCAGTTCAGCTGTTTCACGGAGGCATGTCACTATCGGAAGAGGAGTTCCTGACAAGCCACGACTCCCAGGTGACGAGAGGACACCAATGGAAGGTCAGAAAACCTGAGCTAGGACTCTCATCTGTCGTACGGAGGGTTGTGTTGTCAATGACTGGAATGCTCTTCCAATTCCCAATAACCATAAGGTAAGGTAAGGTAAGGATAATTTGCAGAGACCATGGTAGCTTAAAGGCCTAATGCCCCATGATTGTCCCAAAAGCATCATAGTTGTCCTAATCACTGCCATAGCACCCTGTCTTGCCTTGCATGCAGCTACAAGAAAAGCCCTCATAGACCAAGATCCACCAGTTAAATTGAAGGTAACTTGGGCATATCATCTTGCACAAGCACAGTGCTTTTTGTTCTTGCCTGCTCGCCTGTTTGCGCTAAATGGGTACCCAAGTTGCAAGCAACCAAACAAAATATGGCAGTCAGCAGGGTGACTCTGAAGTCTGGAATCTTTAATGTTGACATTGCAACATGCTTGATGCAATTTCCAGCTCAATTTAACAACTAGCAATGTAAAATGATTATAATTGCAAATTCAAAGATAGTATCTTGTATGTTATATGGTAACTGAAGATGGCATGTTATATGGTAATTTCAGTGCAATTTTGACCATCTATAATGGTAATGGTAACAAGCAACAAGAAGGTTCGGGTTAGCTCATCCGGAAACTCTTGGAGACCAATCCCATGATGACATTCTTGGCTGCTGCCCCAGACAGATGAGTTGGCTGCTGCATTTAGGGCAGGATCAAACCTGCCCAAAATATATCATCCACTAACAAGTCTGCCAGCTTTTGCACACCAGAACATAACAAATGCACAAATACGTAGTGACATTACTTTGGCGACGTGAACTTTCCTGCTGCAGTGTGAAAGCTGGCATGACACTACTGGACGCAACGTCCACACATACCTGCAAACAACGGTAAGAACTTGGAGCCTCCGTCCGCTCAGGACTGCGCGATGTTTTGCAAATATACGGTGTTTACGCAGGGAAAGCAGACACCAAGCCCCACGCACACCCACCACCACCCAACGCCCAACCGAAAACCCCCTGCACGCGGGTGACTCATTAGATGAATAAATGAAGCTGCTGCGCTGTAAGGGTCGGCCCTAAAGATGCTACCATATAACACAAGGTAAAGCGCAGAATAGACCGACCTCTCATAATACGGCGTGCAAATGAATCCGTGTAAATTCAAACGACGGTCACAACATACCGGCAAACCGAGAGCACCAGCATGGGCACTATTCAGGTAAAGTCTGTGTTCTGCAAATCGGGATCTCGATATTCATCGTTGTTTGCACAACAAAACGCACCTCTTTTCGATTGGTTGACGTTTACTCAACCTGTTTCACCCATGCATACGATTAATGGGAATATTGGTAGCTCTATGTGGTTAAAGACGGAAATTTCCAACAGCCACAGCGTGAGGCGCCCAACAATTGCCGTACTGATAAGTCAGCACGCATGTGCACTACAAATGGTCGTACCAATATGCTGTGGAAATGTATGGCTCTTCCTGCTCTCTATATGACCTGCGGCCGGGTCAGCGAGCAACAGGCGACATGCAGACAGACAGACGTACAGGCAGAATCACATTTTCGTAGATAGTACATTTGAACAAGGGCCCAGAACGGAAATGATCTGCGCCTTCGCGTTGTAGCCAGGGGCGGATCCAGAATTTCATCAAGTGAGGGGTCACTATTCATTGTGGGGCATCCCCCCCTCACGAAATAGTCCCCGGATGTCAACCGATTTATTCTCACATGGCTACTTTTAATTGGTAAATTTTATTCCGCTGGAATGACCCACGTGGTTTAGTTCACTCTATTGCTAGAGGGCAATTGATTTGATTTGTAAGCTGGACGTGAAAATTTGTGGCCATTTGTGGTGGCCCTGAACATTGACGTGTTTCAAAAATAAGCGTTTTGTTGATCCGAAATGAGGATTTTGGTACCTTTTCACCACGATATTTTGATGCCCCTTCGCCCCGAGAGGCGAAGGCCATGGTTGTACGCCCCCCCCCCCCCCTCCCCTCCTCCCTCTGGGTCCGCCGCTGATTGTAGCTGACGAAGACCACTCGGATCCAGCTAAACAACTGAAATATGAAAACTTGTGGAACTGCTGGTATGTGTGGAAGATTGGCGAATTATGCATTTTTTGCTTGTATGTTACCGGAGCTTTAAATGGCCGAAATTGTGCACCCCTCCCCCCCCCCTCCCACCCCAAGTGATTTGCTCTTAAAATTGGTTTTTGTTTGTTTGCTTTTTTATTTAGAAATATGCTTTACTAGCTACCTGAATGGGAGCGCTCCATGTTTGTATGGGGTTTCGAGCTGAAATAGCCATTTTGAAGACCATTAGGTGCAGTTCATATGTCTGCCCTTCCTAAAGCTTAAAAGCCTCAAATTTCTGAGCTATACGCTCGCGAAGATGCACAGAATTTTTCGCGTCACGTCACGTCATTTTTCACGTCACGTTCCACGTTTTATGCTACGTTATGAGAAACTGGACATGGCTTCTTCACTTTCAGTTGCTGTTAGCTGTTAGCGAGTTATTACGGAAATTAGACCTCTAACCAGATAACTTAAAAGCAACACAATAACCGAGTGTGTGAAGACAAATAAACATTCAAAACACTGATAAA